AATTAAAGATTTTACACACATAGACACACACGCACACACGCAGACACACACGCACACATGCACACACGCAGACACGGGACCTCTTCTAGAAGATAAGGCTGATGGAGAAGAGACTGAATTATATGAACAGCATGGTGATGTCTCACCTTTGTTGGCCAAGGAGATGGAAAGGCTTCGTGTATTTTGCTAACTTGGACTATGCCCTCGTCCTCTCTTCCACAGAGATCTTTAGATCAGCTAGGAGGAGCCTGCCTCATTCAAAAGGAACCAGCATGTAGCTATAAAGATAATATAAGCAAAGGGGGGGAGATGTAAATAAACGGCATGTAAAGTACTCACATCAGGAAAGTGTTTTTTCCTCAGTTGAGAAATGTCCATGCTGCTGGTTGTGGTGGCACACACCTGTAATGGGGAGCCTGAGGCAGGAGGATTACCTCAAGTTCGAGGCCAGCCTGGGCTACATAGTGAGTTCAAGGCACGCTTTCATTACAAAGTGAGACTGTCAAAAAGAAAAAAAAAAAAGCCCTGTCCTACCAATGAGAAATCAAAGAACTTAACACCAAACTCCAAGCAGAGAAAGTGTAATAAGACATGGTGATAGGAGAAAATAGAACTGGAAGAGCACAGAAAAGTAGCAGAAGAGAAAACTGTGTAGTTGTAACAGGATTAAAAGCCACATTGAAATAAAGTAAAGGCAAACACAAGCTATTAAAAATACAGAAAAAGATAAGAAAGACAAATTGAAAAAATCAAATAAAATTAAAAACTGTAGCCAGCCTGGGATATATAATGAATACAAGGCCAGCCTGGAATAGGGACCCTGCCTCCAAAAAGAAAAAAGCAAGGGGAATTTGCTAAGTTAATAACCTTGGCAAAGGTTATTACCTTGGAATGTGTAAGGTGAATAGACAAAACTAAGACTATAGAGGATTTAAAAAGCAACAATTTGTTTTGATAAATATATAGAACTTTGTCCAACAGAAAATGCAATATTCTCCCATGAGGGAGAGGGGCAAAAATGTTCCCTTTGGGCATAAGTGGAACTATGGAGTAGGGGAAGAGGAATTTAAAGAGTAAGCATTAGCTGATAATAGCAATAACAAGTTCTTACAGCCTTTGCTTTGCTTATCATTTCTCTTACTCTTTAAACTGTACAAGATACATGAAAGTTGGCTCAGTTAAATTGTCCTAACAGAGACTATCATTATATTTGTTATTTGCCTACTTTAAGATCCTTTGATAATAAACAAACTCAGAGTAGTTTAAGGGAAGGAAAGGATTCATTCAGAGGAGTTAGAGATCTGAAGGCAAAGGATGACTGTCAGCCTTCTGAGAGACTGAAACCAAGCAGTGGAAAGTTGTTTTCTCTTTCCTCAGCTGAAAGTCTCATTCTGCTATATATCTTGCACAGTCCTCTAAATACGCAAGCTTTTCTTGCATTTTCATGCACAGCGGATCTGTGGTCTTGCCCACCTTTCCTTTTTCAGGCTAAACTGAGAATAAATGGCATTTGAATCTGAATTCCAGATTCCCAGGAGTGAATCCGGTCAACTCAGACATCTAACCGTGTCAGTCTAGCACAGTGTGGTTCTCAACCTTGTCACTAGGAGTTTGAGCGAACACTGATGTCTGTGTCCTATTACCAGAAATTCTAGCTTCACTGCCTGAGCATTCGGATTTTTTAGAACGTTCCAAGGAGATTCTGTTACATAGCCATAGCTGAGAACCACTGATCTAGGGGAAGAACAGGATCATTGTGTGGCTATGGAGTGCTCAGAGAATGGGTCCTGAGCTAGATAGATTATTCTCCCAACAGTGTCCTCAGTTTTCACCTTAACCTTCCCGTTATCTCTGGATATGAGCTATGTAAGAATAACCTGCAGAACTTTTCTTTAACGTCTAGAGGTAGAGATGTAGCTCAGTGGTGGAACATATGCTTAGCATGCACAGGGCCATTGGTTTGAGCCCCAGTACCAGAAAAAGCAATTGAAGGAAGTGAGGGATCCAGCCAGGCGTAGTAGTACATGACTGTAATCCCAGCACTTGAGAGGCTGAGGTGGGAGGTTCACTGAGAATTCAAGGCCAGTTTAAACTGCATAGTGAGATTCTGTCTCCAAAAAAAAGGTAAAACGGGACCGGGGATGTAGCTCAGTAGTGCTGTGCCTGCCTGCCAAGTGCAAGGTCCTGGGTTCAATCCCTGGTCCAAAAAAAAAAAAAAAAAAAGGTAAAACATACTTTCTAATACAGAAATTCCCTCTTGGGACTTTGGCCTCCAGAGATAAAGGTAGCAGGGTTTCAGTCGAGGAGGGCCCCCTCCTGTGTACTACCCCCACCCTGTGCTGTAGCACAGGCCCTATTAATTTAGTCACTTTGGTGTTCTGTAAAAGGACAGGGAGGGAGAGAAGAGAAGGATGAGCAGCTAACCCCAAACACTTATGTACATAAAAGGGCATATAGGAAGTAGTGGCAAGAAAGCCAAATTTGGAAACTATTGCTGTAGGCTATACAAGAAAAAATAAGATAGATCCTGTCTGAGGTATTTACCTGTGGTAAATGGTATAAGACAGTGAAACTTTCTTCAGGCAGTTTGGAATTAGTCACCAAATGGATTGTATCAATAAAGAACGATCATGGAACCAGGAAAACTGCAAGTGGTCTATAAAGGAGGTGAGACATTATGATATTCAAAGTTCTTACATTGAGAAAGGCATACAACTGTGAGGTAGATACCACGAAGATCTTCACTTTACAGATTGGGAAACAGGATTAACAGAGTAAAGTAACATAACCAGGGTCCTGCAGTTAGCATGTGGTAAGTAAGGAGCACTGGAAGCCAGATGCCACTATCCTATATTAATATTAGGCAGCTTTGGGATCGAGAGAAAGGGCGTGTGGGAATTTTATGAGTATTGAGGGAAATGTAAAGGCATGAGAGGAAGATGGGGGCAGTGATTAAATCAGTGAAAGTGATTAGGAAATGGTGGTAGATGGTCTTGAATGTTACATTCAGAGGATCCTAAGTGGCACATGCTCACAGAATTTGTTATTGGGGGGTGGGAGGAAATGTCTGATGATTTGAAAGTAAAATTTTAGAAATGGGTGTAACCTTTTATCTTCTAGATTATCCTCATGGTGTTAACTGCAGGGTTAGAGAGAGGGATTTGGGGCTTGATACTCACTACTATATCCTGAGCACTTAGACCCATCACTAGTAGGTAGCCACTTAGTAAATATTTGCTGAATGAATACATGAATGAAATCTAGCCAAGAATCTATATTAGTGGCTTATTCTGTATTTAGCCCAATGAGCCCATAATTTAGCCTCTCATCTTACTTCCTCCTCCCACCAAAGCTGATGCCAGGTGTTTTCTAATCCATCATAAACTGTCCTTCACACACTGCTTTCTACAAAGATCAGAATGTGAACTTGTTGATTCCCTGTAAGATCTGTTCATTGGGTCACAGTCTCTCTTGCGGGCATACCTTGCCATTCTCACTCCGTATCACTATAAGTCCTTATTGCTTCTTTCCTCCCTGTTCCCTCTGTGCTCCCTGAATCCAGCTTCTCCCCTCATCTAGTTTGTCCTGTCAGGGTCTGTCATCCTCAGAGGGCCAATACCCATACTACTGTCTTGTCAGATACTTTGTGAGGGGTGCTCTCGGGGTTCCTGCCTCCCTCAGCTTACTGTGTTTTGCGCCGCTCTCCCACACATTCCTCTCAGATGGGTCTACTTGCTGCACTAAACGTTTTAGTGTGCTTCCTTTATACATTTGTTCCTTCTGCTCTACCTCCTGGGATGCCCTTCTCTTCCCTTATTGGCAGTGTAGATCCTTTCTATATACTTTCAAGACTGCTCAGGTTCTGACTCCACTTTTCCTCACTCACCCAATTTGAATTACTGGTTTTTTCGCTAAACTGTTGTCAATTATTGCCTGTGTTACAAATAAGCAGATCGGTGGGTTAACCTTTGACTCCACTTTGATTGCTTTCTCAAACGTTCTAGAGCATTGGGTTCTGTCTCCTTTTACAGTTTTACACGTTATCTCCCCAACACATTATATGTTATTGAAAGCCCTTAAGTGCTCCATAAAAATGAGTATTTAGATTTAGTCATAGATTTTTAAAAGTTAGCCAGAGATGACAAGATCTGTAAATATACATAAAAAACTGGGGATATAGCTTGGTATTAGAGTGCTTGCCTAGCCTGTGTGAGACCCTAGATTTGATCCTCAACACTGTAAAAGGAAACAAAACCCAAATAAAGACACAGAAAAGTTCTTAGGTATCTACAAAAAGCTGCTTAAACTAGGAACTAATGGAGAAGAGTTAAGGATTCAAAATTAATGTACAAAAATAAACTTTATAGTAACAATGAATAATCAGGAATTGAATATAAAAACAATGCTAGGTAATTCTGGAAACAATAAAAATTCCATTTATAATAGCACAAAATCTTTTAGGAATAAAGTTAATGAAAACATTAAGTATACCAAAAACTCAGGCATTGCAGAAAGAAATTAGAGGTGGCCTAGGTAAATGGAGAACTATCCTATATTTATGAGTTGGAAGACTCAATATTAAGATGATAATTCTTCCCAAAGAGATCTGTAGATTCAACACAACAGAATTTTATCAGGCTTTCTGTAGAACTGGACAAACTGATTGAAAAATTTACACAGAAAAGCAGAAGTAGCCAGGCATTGTACCACCAGTGCCTATAATCCCAGCTCTTAGAAGGCTGAGGCAGGAGGATTGAAAGCTCAAGGCCAGCCTAGGCTACATAGGGAGAACTACCATAATGGTATGTTTTTGTTTTTTTTTTCTACTATCTCTGTAGTGTTGAATATAGCTGAATCCTCCGAGCCTAGGTTTCCTGTCTGGCAGTGGGATAGCTAGTCTAATTCCTTTTCATTGTAATAGTTTTTGATTCTCTAGTTAGGTAATTGATACTGCTCCAGAAGAACAAATGTTTATGTGGTTCAACTTTGGTGTGTTGCAGGTTCAACTTGTTGGTTTAGATGAGGAGAGTTCAGAATTTATTTGCCGAAACACCTTTGACCATCCGTACCCCACCACAAAGCTCATGTGGATCCCTGACACAAAAGGAGTCTATCCAGACCTGCTGGCAACTAGTGGTGACTATCTCCGTGTGTGGAGGGTAAGCACGTGTTCTTTAGCAGCTAGACGAATGGACTAAGTTAGCTGTTGACAGTGTAGAGTCACACAGAGCAAGACACAGTAAGGGCAGTGACTGTCATTGCAGCCTGGGACAAATGAGCAAAGCTTCCTTGGACTGATTTGTTTGGCTCAGCAGGTTTTCTAGTAAATCTAGGCAAGATTCTATGAGTCCTTTTGTCAGCCTGGAAACATGAGGCTCTGTAACCTGATATGATGAGTACAGCCTTCAGTGGGGTTGAGGGATTCTTGGTCTGTTAGTCTGTTGACAATCAAGATGTTTTTGGGTAAATTAAACAAAATGTTAGGCCATTGATGCTCATTATATGAGCAGATCTTGGAGACTCCTCTCCCCTCTCAGCTGAACTCAGCAGACACTGTAGCCTGGGGTATACACCCCTGTAGACAAGGTCCTGAGATTCTGGATTAGGGTGAGTGAGAAGATGAAAATTTAGAAGGCAAAGCTGGGCAGAGAAAAACTTTGGGAAGAAGTCTAATTCAGGGAGTTCCTCCAGGTTTTACTACTCTTTATGATAAAAATGTTTTCCCATGTCTTAGATTTACCAAAGTATTATCTGAATCTGACTTTTAAATTTTTGTGTGAGGACAGGACCGGTTGATTTTTAGTATATGTGCTGCCAAAGCGAGCACAAGTGTGGTTGATTTTTAAAACTTACTATTCTTTCAGGTTGGTGAAACAGAAACAAGGCTGGAATGTTTGCTAAATAATAACAAGAACTCGGATTTCTGTGCCCCCCTGACTTCCTTTGACTGGAATGAAGTGGATCCTTATCTTCTGGGTAAGGGAGTTAGGGAGTATGTATTCCAGTTTGGAGAAGCAGTGGTACATTTTCTCAGATAGAACATTGGGTGCGGGGGTGGGTCACATATAACACTGGCCCAGTAATTTGTGTTTGGTGCTGAGGATGGAACCTAGGGCCTTGCACATGCTGGGCAAGCACTCTGCCACTGAGTGACATCCTCCACCCCTGCACCTGTTTTTAATTAGGAGCCTGAGTTGTCATTCTATATACAACAGGAGCAAGTGAGAAGTGGTAGATGTGGAATACAGTTATTAATTCCTCATATGGAGTTAAGCTTTTTCTGTGCATATATTGTGTCTTTCTAGTTAAAGTCTAAGCATCCCATCAGGCATGGTGGTGCACACCTGTAATCCCAGCACTTGGGAGGCTGAGGTGGGAGGCTGAGGCAGGAGGATTGCTGTGAGTTTGACACCAGCCTGGGCTACATAGTGAGTTCCAGGTCAGTCTCAACTACAGAGTGAGACCTTGTCTCAAATACCACCCCCCCCCCAAAAAAAAGTGTAAGCATCCTAAGATAAGGATTAAATACTTGACCCTTCCTACACCCAGGAAGCATTTGTGGCATGTTCATCCCTGGCCAAGCAGATGAGCAGGCACAGGAGGGAAGTTTGCATGGGAACTTCATCCCTGTCAGTGCTAACTTGCCCTGGTGTTCACAGGTACCTCAAGCATTGACACAACTTGTACCATCTGGGGGCTGGAGACTGGGCAGGTGTTGGGGCGAGTGAATCTTGTGTCTGGCCATGTGAAGACCCAGCTGATAGCCCACGACAAAGAGGTAATGATGCTTTTTCTTTTCTTTCCTCTGGTGCTTTCTGTGCCCGTAGGTAACACATAAGGTTGTTCTTTCTCTGTTTTGCAAATTACATAGACAATCAGTGCCAAAATGCTTCTTGTTCACATGGAAAATAGTAATGTGTCAAACGGTAGGAACAACACTGTTGTACACTAATTCATTTTTTGACTAATGTAAATGACTTATTATACAGTCTGTTGCTGTCCTTTTCATGCAAAAGGTTGCTATTTTTTAAAAAATAATGAAGTCTCTTAAAGACACACTGAGAACTGGTGTGATTAAAAATAATTTTAGAAGCTTGGCGTGGTGGTGCACGCCTGTAATCCCAGCACTCAGGAGGCTGAGGCAGGAGGATTGCTGTGAGTTCAAGACCAGCCTGGGCTACATAGTGAGTTCCAGGTCAGTTTCAACTACAAAGTGAGACCCTGTCTCAAAGAACCAAAACAAAAAAATTAATAATAATCTTAGAGTAAAATTTATTTCAAAAAAATCGTTTAAAAATAATCTTTTTTAGGGTAAAGGAAGACAGGAAGAGGGAAAACTTTCTGATAGACAAACCTAATTATCATTTTCTCTCTAAATATATTTTATTGAATTCTAATATATTTATGCAATCTTTTATACTTCCAGTACTATTTGGAAACAAACATTTTATTTGATATGATATTTTCTATGTGTTTGTGGGAAAAACTGATAAAAACCTTTGATGATTGTGGCCTGATCAAAGCATTTCCTTTGGTAATTTTGCAAAATAGTCCATCCAGAGTCATTCCATGCTCTTTCTCTCACTTCCTTGAGGTTCTGTTTTCTTTTTTGTTCTCCCTTACCTGCACAGCGAGGGTTATTAATATTTGTACAGGTAAAAAGGATGCCTTGACCAGAGGCCAGAAATTGGAGGTTATCAACAGTATAGGAAGGTAATGATCATTCTTAGTCGAGGATTGTTCTTGGCCTCTATACTCCTAAGGTTAAGATCTATTATAAGACTGCTGGACTTGACTTTTACTAAACCAAGTTTCAAATGAAGAGTTTGTTTTTCAGAGAGGACAGTAAGGAACTTCTGGAAACTATCTTGGCATCATATAGAACAGATTCCTGCATTTAGTTATATGGCAATCTAACTCGCTGTTCTTTTTTAGTTCCAACTCAGGGGTAGTAACTATTCTTAAGTACTATAGGTAAGAGACTGTTTAAACCATGGGACTTATTACACAGATGAGGCAGCAGTCCACTAGTTGAGAGGATAGGAGCATCTACACGCTGTCATTCCCCATAGGCTGGAAAGTCCAGTAGAGGAGACAGGGTTCCTAGAGCCCAGTGATTGAGTTTAACTGGCATAGATGCTTGTGGGAACAGAGAAAAAGAAATACTTAACTGGGGATTTAGTTCAGTGGTTCCGCCACCTGCCTTGCAAGCACAAGGTCCCAAGTTCGATACCTGGTACAAAAACAAACACAAGAAATACTTAGCTTTTCCGTACTTATTTGGGTTGCTGTCGTGGCTGTCTGACAGATGGGAATAGAGCAGAGTTTAATATATTTGAAAAATATTATTCCCTCTTTTCTGAAAAACCACACATGGATGAGGGACCAGTCACCTGGAGCTTAGAGAGCTTTGTGCACTGAGTCCACTGCTCCTGGTCACCTGTGGTGTCTCACCGCTGAGAGGTACTCAGAGACAGTACCATGGGGTGCACATACTGCTAAACATGCATCTGCCCTGAAGTACCTGGATAGGACAGTTGTTGCCCTGATCTACCAGGTGTGTCAGGCCTGAGTGCCTCTTTGTTGATGACTGGCCCCTGTTCCCTTTTGAACCTCTTTAATTACTTCCCAAGAAAGCGAAGCACAGTTTCTCCATTATCTGCCAGAGAAAATGGAATTGAGGAGTTTAAATAGAAATAGATGTTAATTTGACAGTGTCCCTTAGTAGGCAGAACCCAAGAGAGTAGGAGCTGCAGTGTCTAATAAGAAATTCTACTCATATCTCCCCAGAAGTCAGCTATCATATCCTTGGCTGCTGAAGATGGGTTTTGTTTGGCATTTGTTTTTGTTTTGTTTGTTTGTTTGTTTGATATAGGGTTTTGTTATGTAGTCCAGTTTGGACTTGAACTCACTGTGTAGGCAAGTCTTTAATTCACAATCCTGCCTCAGCCTCTCAGGTACAGGGATACAGGCATGATTACACTATGTCAGTTTGTCTTGTCTTGTCTTAGGATCAAACCCAGATGTGCTCTACCACTGAGCAACATCCTTTACCCTTTGTTTTTTATTTTGGGAAAGAGTCTTGCTAAGTGGCCCAGATTGGCCTAAACTTAGCATCTTCCTGCCTGAGACTCCCATGTAGGTGAGACTATGGATATGTGCCACCAAGCCCAACATGGCATTTTTCTTTATCTCTGTGACTCACTTCACTTGCCTGGCTGTGGCTTTGTCTGTCTTAGTCCCTCTCTTTCTCTGAAGTTCTTTATTGTTCTCTGCCTCTTTTTCCTCATAGACATTAGTGATACAAAAATATTTGCAGAAAATTATAAATGTAGGAAACAATGATTCAGAACCTAAATTGATTGTTATGGTTTTTGTTATAGTTATCTAGATGTCCTCTTAAAGCCTCATGTGCCCAAAGATGGGACTTTGGTAAGGTGATTGGATTATATAAATTTCTTTCTTTTTTTTGGTACTGGGGATCGAACTCGGGCCCTTGCGCTTGTGAGGCAGGCATTGGAACCACTGAGCTAAATCCCCAGCACTGTATTATATAGATTTCTAACTGACTTCTTGTTAGAAGGTGGAGTCTGGTTGAAAGAGGTGTATCACTATGGGTGTGGCCTGGAAGGGTTTGTCTCCCTCTGTGGCTTCTCCTTTGACACTGTCTCTCTACTTCTTGACCACCTTGCCGTGAATAATTCTTCTCAGCCATGTCCTTCCACGACATGTATTGCCTTGAAGCCAGCCAAGGTGGACTGAAACCTTACAAACTCTTCTTTAAGTTATAGGTGTCAAATATTTTGTCCCAGCAATGAAGAAAGTGACTAAGACAGATTTTGGTAACAGAGAAGTGAGGTCATTGCTGTGAGACTACCTGACCATGTGGTTTAGAAGCCTTTGGAACTGGCTTATGTGAGGAGTTTGAAAAGGTTTGGAGAGGCTAGCTGGACAAGCAACCCTAAAATGCTGTAAGTCAAGCTTCATGGGAGATTCTGGTCAGAGTTCAGATGACTAGAATGCTGATTAAAAAAAAAAAGAAGAAGAAGAAGAAGAAGAAGCAGATGGAAAAGACTAGGCTCAGAAGGTCTCATGTGGGAAGAAAGGCTCCACTGGCAGTTGGACATGAGGCCATGTGTGTTGTGCTCTGAGAGAAAATTTTTCTACATTTTGCTTATGTCCTGAGACTGCAGAAAACTTACATTAAGGGTGGCAGATTAATCTGGCAGAGGAAATCTCAAGGCAGCCCAACATTTAGGCTGTAGCATGGTATTGTCGGGGGCTTTTAACTAGCTCTACATTGAGAATCAAGAGCAAATGGTATAGCTGAGTGATGCTAAAGGCTTTCAGTTCTGCCAGAAAGCAGGCTTCTACAAAAATGGAGCAAAAGAAAGTTTGGTTATTGAAAAGATTAGTATCAATATGAAGCCAAATAGTTGCCAGGGATTTAGCTCTGTGCCACTGCATCTGCCTTGCAAGCACAAGGTCCTGAGTTTGATCCCCAGTACTGCAAAAAAGAAAATAAATTGTTGAGCAAAATGAAGCCAAATACTTTATAACAGGTCAATAGAAAGGATGCCTTCAGAGCTTGTAGGGAAACAGACAGGCCCTAACCTTCTTAGGCTTAAAATTGCAAAAGTGAAAGACTTTGCTTTGAGAAAAAGCCCTAGGGCACCATTCTTGAGAATGGGTACTTATAGAATTTGTTCCCCTGAATGCATTTCACAATGCTCAACTGCCCAGGCACTCAGAGGCGCCCACAGCCAGGATGCAGAAGGGCCAGGCTGTTACTGGAGACAGCAGCAGACCTTTGCATTAGTCGATATGGTGCTGGTTTTACAGGCCTGCAGAATGCAAGAGTTGTGGGGTCAGCAAAGTTTCTTCCCAGATAGCAGAAGGCAGCCTGGGAGGCCAGACACTGCCCCTGAGAAGGAAGTAAGTACGTGAAACTGGAAGTGCATGGAGACTCCAGAAAACTGGAGAAGCCATGGAACATCTGAGGAAAGCTACAAGGAGTGAGCAAAACCAGCCTACGAGAGAAGCCACAAGTGCTGCAACTACGGGCAGTGTTGTAGGGACAGGGCTGCCCAAGCCCTTTGGAGTTCACATGTTGTTGCCACAACTTGCCCTTGGTACTGGCTATAGAACTACAGGATTTAGTGTTTACCCTGATGAATTTTGGTTTTGAGTTGGTCCCATTGGTCTCTATCCCCCATTTTCTCCCTTTAGGAATGAGAATGCTTATCCTGTGCTATATTGGCAGTGTTTAACTTTCTTTTGATATGTTTGTTTGTTTGTTTTTTGAGACAGGGTCTCACTATGTAGTTGAGACTGACTTGGAACTCACTATGTAGACCAGGCTGGTCTTGAACTCACAGCAATCCTCCTGCCTCAGCCTCCCGAGTGCTGGGATTACAGGCGTGTGCCACCACACCTGTCCAACTTTCTTTTGATTTTTATAGGGACTCATGAATAAATTTGCTTTGAGTCTCAGAGGAGACTTGAGGCTTGAATTTTTCAGCAGTGCTAGAAGTGTTAGAACTTTGGCAACTCTTAGAAATGGCCTGTATGCAATTTGCATAAGGGATGTACATGCATCTTTTCGGGGCTCAGGGCAGAATGTTATGGTTCATATCTAGGTGTCTCTCTAATGCTTCATGAGGGCATAGGCAGGACCTATGAGAGATGATTGGGTTGTGGGGGCATTATAGCTGATTTCCTGTTAGTTGGGAGACACTGGTTACTGTGGTCATGCATACCTTTGACTGCATATAACTGAAAGCCACCTAAGCCCAGAAAATAAATGTCTCAATCTTGGAGTATGGCAGAAGACAGCCCCTTTCTCTGGCTTCCACTGAGCCAATGTGTACTGAATCTTTGCTCAGAGTTTGTGTTCTGCCAGTTAGGCTGTATGTGCCTTTTGTTTTATTAGGGTTGGAAAGCAACAGTGGAAATAAGCCCGACAATGTCCGTAGCAGAATGAACCTCACTTTTGGGAGGCCATCGGTGGCATAGCTCTGGGGTTCCAGTACCTACAGACACTATTTAGGCTTAATTTACCTGCTTCTGTGTCATGAGCTGGTGTTCAGATGAACTGGAGATTGTGAATTTCCCTGTGATAGCCAAAGGAGGTGAAAGATCTGAATCTTACTGGAGTTTCTTACTTGATCACCAACAGGTCTATGATATTGCATTTAGCCGAGCTGGAGGTGGCAGGGACATGTTTGCCTCTGTGGGCGCTGATGGCTCAGTGCGGATGTTTGATCTCCGCCATCTGGAACACAGCACCATCATTTATGAAGACCCACAGCATCACCCACTGCTTCGTCTTTGCTGGAACAAACAGGACCCTAACTACCTAGCCACCATGGCCATGGATGGAATGGAGGTGAGCACCCCAAATAGATTAACAAGGCCCTGGCACCTAACACGAGCACTACTTAGTGTATCTTGAAGAATGGTACTTAGCTGACAGCAGTGTTGCGCCCAGGAAATTTTTAGAAATATCTGGAGACATTTTTGGTTGTGACAACTTGAGAGGAGACAGGTAATGCTCCTGGCATCTAGCAGATAGAGACCAGGGATACTGCTAGACATCTACAATGCACAAGATTAAAGTATTAACCTACCCAGAATGTCAGTAGTGCTGAGATTGAGAAAGCCTTGATGTAGAACAAGGACTATGTTAAAACTTCTAATACTTGGAGTGTAAGACTTAGAACCAAGATAAGCAGTATTTACAGAGTAATCTGTTTGTTTCTGGTACCGGGGATCAAATTTGGGACCTTATGCTTGCGAAGCAGAACCACTGAGCTAAATCCCCAGCCCCAGAGTAATCTAAATCATTTGTGCATATGGGCTGGGTGAAAAAACAAGCTGGTTCCCCCTTCTACATTTTGGACAGATTCATCCAACTTCAGCAGATGTAGAAAAAGGAGCTCTCTCCAGTCGATTACTCAATAAAAGTAGTAACTTGTAGGTAAAGAGGGACCCAGGGGTTGACCTTGGTTTAGTGAGGCTTACACTTCAGATTTCTTATATTCCCAGTTCTGCTTTGATGAGGCACTCATATTGCCCTGCTGAAATGCAGAAGTTCTTGATGCTGTTAACTGGACTCAGTGCTTATCCAAACTCATGTTGCCTACTTCTGCTTCCCCTTTTTCCTGTCAGCTTCAAGGCCAGTGTTGTTCAAGATAGGGACTATACATTCTTGTTTTCTAATTCCTCAAAGCTGAGGAAACCCTGTCTAATATTATTTAAACCCACAATGAAAAAGTTATGTTTGAGAAAAAATTTTGTGTATAGTTTTTTCTTTGTTTGTTTGGTCATACCTTGCACTTCTGGGCCCTTTTACTTGCTTTTCTACAGGTGGTGATTCTGGATGTCCGAGTTCCCTGCACACCTGTTGCCAGGTTGAACAACCACCGAGCATGTGTCAATGGCATTGCTTGGGCCCCACATTCATCGTGCCACATATGCACTGCAGGTAACCAAGGTGGGGAGAAAATAACACGGGGTAGTTAGGAGTCTGCCACTCTTGGCACCTTAGAACTGTAACCCTTACTGTTTTCAAATGATAGTTCTGAGAGATTTACACAAAGCAACTCCGTCAGGAGCCTCCCCACACTGTGAAATTGGAGCATTCCACATTTCCAGATGATCTTGTATCCACAGTGGGCAGAGCCTCTTCCATGAATACTAATTTTTTTTTCTTTTGAGACAGAGTCTCACTGTGTAGCCCAGGCTGGCCTCAAATTCATGGTGGTCTTCCTGCCTCAGCCTCTCAAGTGCTGAGATTATGGGAGTGCACCACTATGCCTAACTCGTTCCACATATGCTAATGACAGTGTGTATCAAATATAGGCCTGTGCCTTGAACTATCCTTCTGGAAGTCTAGGTTCATATAGAATCTTTGGAAATGCCAAGGTTGACATCTCCTTATGCCTTTCAGGCTTCACTATAATGAATCTGCAGGGAGCTCTGGATGTATTGAGGGGACTATAGCCTTCCCTGGTCAATGATGTGTGACTTGTTCTCTCTCTCTGTTTTTGGAAGCGGGGATTGAAGTTGGGTCCTTGTGCTTGCAGGGCAGGTGGTGGAACCACTGAGCTAAATCTCTAGTCCTGTGACTTGTTCTCATTTCATCATTTTCACACCAAAAATAATTTTACTTTAGCCCTGTTATAGTTTGTATGTGTTTTTCAGTGCATCAGGCTTCCTTCTAATATGCCTTTTCCCCTCCTCACTAATTAGTAGATTTATGACAAACCTTGTTCATTATGGAGCCAAAGAAGCAATGTGGTTTGATTTTCTGCCATCTTAGCATTAATTTGAAGGGCGGAAGCGTTTTCCATTTTTGGCTCTCTGCTCATGCCTGCTTACCTCATCGAGGAGCAACTTGGCGTCCCCTGTCACCTGTACCCCAGCCTGATTTGCCGTCTTCATTTGCTCCTTTTTTGTCCAGAAGTATAGTTAGGGAGGGTGGGAGAAGGAAAAAGAGAATGTTGTCACCCATTTTTTATGACAAGTAGAAGTGCAGAGTGTTTAAAGCAGTGTCCTGATCTCTTGGCATAGAGTGTCTTGGGAATAGGGATTTTTTTCCTCAACAGTTTTTTTAAAAAAATAAATATGCGTTTGCAGTACATAATGATTGTGTTCCTCATGCAGAGTTAGTACACGCGTATAACATACCTTAATTCTTCCATTTCATTTCTTTCCCTTCCTCTCCCTCCCTCCTCCCTTCATTTCTTGGTCCACTTCCCTTTTGCAAGGGATCTATCTCCCCTTTTCCTATTATCTAGCTTGGATTTTGCTCTTTATTTATACTTTGAGTTTCTTATATAAGAGAAATCATATGATATTTAACCTGTGTCTGATATATTTCACCTAACATGGTTTTATGGTTCCTTCATTTTCCTACAAATGACTCAACTTTATCCTTCTTTAAACCAGAGTAATGCTACATTGTTTATAAACACCACATTTTCATTATCCATTCGCCTGTTTATAAATATATAGGCCACTGAGAAATGGTATCTTGTACCTTGCCCACATTATGTAGACTTGGTAGGAAGCCAGGGTTGCCATGGTTAACCTGGCCAATTGGGGTTCTCTAGTACCACACACACAAAAGAAGTAACTTGGAAACATTACAGATCATTTAGGAACAAGATAAAGTACATATAACTAACTCATAGCTTTGCCATTCTAACCCTCCCCATTTTGATATATTTCCTGTAGCCTTTGGTGGTGGTAGGGGATAACCAGGGATTGAACTCTGAACCCAGAGCTTTCCCACTGTTGTCATTTGTTTGTTTTTTGAGACAGGGTCTCAAAAAGGCTGGCCTTGAGCTTACTATGTAGCCCATGTTGGCCTCGAACTTGCTTCCTCCTGCCTCAGCTTCCTGAGTGCTAGGATTACAAGTGTGTATCACCATGCCCAGCCTCACACTGTCCAGACCGGCCTCAAATTTGCAATGCTCATACTTCAGTTTCTCAGAGTGCTGGGATTATAGGTGTGTGCCACCACCACCACCACACCTAGCTTTCTAATCACTTTTTTTCATGTGCTTATATGTTTTTAAAGATGGTTACCTTCTTTTTGGTGTTTCCCATGACCCTTTACTTGGGAAAAAAATTTTAAAGGTACATGTCCACATAGCACTTTATCTCAGTCATCGTTTTATATAACACCTCATTGAAGCACAATTGTCCATAAAACAGAAACTTGTATTAGATCGAATTATCAGAGAAGGATCTTTAACCATTTAACTATTTTTAGTAGCTGAAAAAATGACATCATGGTTTGGACTCTGCTTTTTTCCCCCAATACTAAGTATGCAGATGGAACACTGAGCTATATCCTGAGCCTTTTTAATTTTTAAATTTTGAGACAGGGTCTCAATAAGTTGCTGAATTGCCCAGGCTGCCCTGGAACTTGCAGAACTCCTGCCTCAGCCTTCCAGAATGCTGAGATTATAGTTGTGTGCCACTGTGCCTGACTTGGGGATTGTTTTTATCCCAATGTTCTCTCCTGATGCCTGACCCCAATGAGAAGGAACCTATCTAATTCTAATGTCTAGATCTTGTTACAGTTAAGGGAGCCTAAGGTTATTTGGGACATGGAGTTAATGCCAGATTTGAGCCCTGGCCCTGCCACTCACCAGCTGTATGGCTGTTTGGCTTGCGGCAAATGCCTTAGCATTTCTGTTTCCTCATCTATAAAAAATAAAACCTTCCCAGAGGTTTTGCTGAGTAAGTGCTTGTAAATTGTGACTCATTCTCCAGATGTAGGGATTGTTGTCCACATTCCCTGATTGACCTTGCTTGCTCTCCTGTTGTTCTTAGCGGATGACCATCAGGCTCTCATCTGGGACATCCAGCAAATGCCCCGAGCCATCGAGGACCCTATCCTGGCTTACACAGCTGAAGGAGAGATCAACAATGTGCAGTGGGCATCAACTCAGCCTGACTGGATCGCCATCTGCTATAACAACTGCCTGGAGATACTCAGAGTGTAGTGTTAGTGGCGACTCACCCGCAGGGCAGGGGTTTGTGTGTTTTCCACCTCTGCCCCACTTCAAGTAAGAAGAAATGTATTTCCAGTCCAGTGGCCAGTATGTCTGTTGTTGCTTTGCACCCACTGTTTCCGGAAGCTGCTCTATGAGTGTCCAGCCAGTCACCCAACATTCTCTGTGCCGGACTCAGTGCTGTGTGGCGCTTCCTCAGCCAGGGGCTGAATTTTAACATTTTTCTCTCTTTTTTTCCTTTGTTTCCTCGGTTAAACATGTCTGTATATTTGTTTGTTAACTGTTATGTTAATGAGCCAAACAAGCGCTGGCTCTGTTTATATCCATCTGGCCTAGTGTCTGTCTGTTTGCTGCCCAAGGCAGTAGTCCATGTCTTGTCCCTATCCTCGTCTCCGTGTTAGCACTTAAGTGGGAACAAATACCAACCTGAAGTTGTCTTTCTTCCTGGTGTCAGTGTCTTTAACAAATTTCAACTTTGTATATTTTTTATCTATCAGGCTAATTTTTTAATGAAAATAATATCACTGTCCTGGTTTCTTCTTTTGTTTTATAGTCCTCCCCTTTTGCATCTTCCTCTCTTCTCTCAGTGCCTGGAGCAGGTACTGGGTCCTTGACCCTATGAGCAGTTTGCCTTCCTGAGTCATTGCTGGAGTGGCACATGCCTGATCAGGAGTCCCAAACCACCCTGGTGCTCTGAAGTCTACTAACTTTTCTCAGCCTTCTCAAGGCTCACAGGACAGACAAGCTCCTGTGTCTGGCCTCACTGGTACCTTTTGGGCACATGGTAGAGCTGAGATAGGCAGCTGATTGGGGGCAGGGGGTTAGGCTGGAAAGAAATTGTTTCACAAAAGCTGAACTTAGAGCATATTTCCAGTACCTAGTTTCAGAGTTTGTTTTTCCCTTTAGTAGTAAGCCCCAGGCCACTCCTTTCTGGGACTTGAATGATAAGCAAGAATGATCTTTAGGCTGAACTTTGGTATTTCTCTTTATTGAGATTCCTGTGCCTGGTGGAATATTGGTTCCTCTTTGGATTGAGTGCTCTGAGTGAGAGAATCTCCCTAAGAGGAAATGTCTATGTGTCTGACACTGTACAGGTTCTTTAGCAGTGCGAAGACAGGCAGCTGTCCTTGGGGATGGACTAATTGGCTATAACGATACAGAGCCATTAAGTACCTAGCTTCAAAAGAATCATGGGCTCTAGGGTCCGTCAGTGAAAAGGTGTACTCACACCTGTCAGACTCATTCCTACCCCAGTTTACTTTCTGGACAGTATTGAACTTGTAGTCTTCTGTAACCTGTTGACTTACAGGCTGCAAGTGTCTATTTCCGTTATATACATAGGTTTCATGGAGGGGGCTTGTGTGTAATTCTGACCTTAGATGAATCCTTAGGGTGGACAGAGTTTGGAACTTGCACTAAGGAGAGTTTGCCTGGTTTATCATGCTCTGTCAAGTTCCTGAAGGTTTTTGGAACCTTCTGAGTTGCTCACCCGAGATTAGGAGAGTAGCAGGCCTGACAGTGGTTTTGTCCACTTAAGTTCTTACCTGCTCAGGAAATAAGTTAACTTCATTCTTCTGGTTCTTTAAACTTCTGGTTGACTTTTCCCCACAGCTGATGTAGTTACATACCAGAAGTTACAGCTTGCTTTACTATGCAGGAGCTTGTCCCACAGGGAGGGGCTTTTTGGATGGGGTATTTCCCTCTTTGAGCTTCATGCTTTGTTGTTCTGATTATGGGTTTTTGGGTGGCCTTCTCCTGCATTTACCACCAGATTTTTCACTGCATCAATGGGAGATACAAAGCAAGCAGTTCTAGGTCAGACCCCTCCTCTGCTTTTAATTGTGTTTGCTAGTGGTTACAGGAGCCTCCTGTCAATGGTAGCAAGGTTAGCTGCTAGCTGCTGTCCTAGGAAGCCCCATTTATTTCTGTGGATGAGTGATGGGAGTCTGAGTGGTAGCGGTGGCTGGACCTGCTTGGAAGTGGTGGTTCCCTCACTGAATTCTTAGTGGACTTAATCCTTGTCTGAATAGCAAGGAAATTTGTCAGCTGGAACTGAAAAATGCTAATTCAGAAACTTAAGCAGCAGTGGTTATTTGCATAGATTTGAATGAGGGTTTTTCCTTGCTCTGTGGACTCCCAGCCCTGTCATCCTCCGGCCCTGCAGTGCAGTTCTGTTCTCTGCACCCATCTGGAGCCCACATGAGATTCTCCCGCTCCTTCAGCAAGCATGATGGGCCCAGTTTCAGGTCACCTTCTCTTTACACCTCAAGCAGATGGCCTCTTGGCTGAGGAAGGAATTTCTCTTGTTTGAAGATACAGATCTTCTAGCTAGCTGTGCCCCATAAACAGGTCTGTTGTAGTTTCAGAAGCAAGTCTCAGTTGTTCAGTTTTCAACCTAACAGCCAATGAGATTGGTGGAGAGCTCTGATCTGATCTCCTCAAGCAGCTGCTAGGGCTTTATGTGGAGCCACCTCTGGGCACTGGGGCAGCTGTGATAGCCCCTCTGATGCTCTTAACAGGCCAAGCTATAGACACAAACACTTCTGCCCTGCTGAAGGGCAGAAAGCTGGATCAGTTAGGCCTGAGAGCCTGACTAAATGGGTCCATGGCATTCAAGGACATGAGCCTTACACTCAAGAGGTTGGAACCCTCTCCTTCCCAGAAGAACTATCCTTCAAGGTCAGGACTTAAAGAGGGGCAATGTTTGATAACTGGGTGACAACTTCATATCAGATCTAGGATCAGCTCTCAGAGAATTAGCTAAGATTCAGTAAGAACATAAGAAGTCTAGAGTCCTACAACATTTTGTCGATAGTTATGGCTGGAATTTTATAAGATTTAGGATGTAGGAGTAAGTCAGTGGTATTTATTTGGATCAAGGGAGGAAATATTAAAGGGCAGATAAAGTCTGAAGTGGGGAACTATTCAGACTTGTGTGGCTGTGGAGTGAAACTATGCCCTTAGACCAGTCACCCTTCCTAGACTGTTCACCAGGCATCTGTGGTGCTGGGTAACGGTGGTACAGTGTGACAGCTCAGGGGAGGAGCCCCTCCCTGCAGCAGGCAGCCATAGGTGAAAATTTGCAAGCATGGGTTTTCCATGGCAATTCCAGACCATAGTTCCTCTTAGTTGTAGATTTGTACAGAGGTGGTAAAGACTCAAATAGACCTTTCCCCCTTCTTTTCTCTTTCTCTTACCGTTACACTGTAGAACTTTCTCCTTGCTGCAATATGACTCTGAATTCCTAGGCTGTAAGGACATACAGGAGCTACAGCGTTTACCAAACGAGGGAGGGCAGCCCAGACCTGCGTCTGCACCTTCCTTACTGTGAGACTCTGACAGTTCCTTTGACTTCTGGTTTGGGATAAGGGGATACCACTGAAGTAGAATCCTTGAAGCACACTTTTTCCTTTACTCTCTGTACTCTAGGACAAGGAAGGAAGGCCATCCGTGGCACTTAGCTTAGGTTTTCTGAAAGAGAGCTGAGCTAAGCAAAGTCACCAAGAACCATAGGCCAGGATTTGGGTGAGTTCTCTGCCCTGGCTGCATAGCCACCAGAGTGTCTTGTATTCCAGAGCTTCGTCCACTGCACCCACCTGTATCTTTTTCTCCTCCCACCGTTGTCGTTGCTGCTAATGGTTAAAGTCAAATGTGTGGCCACATAGGATGGGTCAGGGCCTCTTGGGGTACTTTCTGGATGTCATTTTTTAAACTTGGAAACATGCAGGTGCCTTGCTAAAGAGGCTTGGACTGGTATGTCAAACCAGGAACAAATAAGCTAAGAAAGTTTGAACTCCAGAAGAAAGATGTTGAGTGTGTGACAGCTGGAAAGTGTACAAGCACCCACCTTTGGGACAACCCAGTGAAGATGAACTTGTGATATCTACTGTTGAAAGAAACGTTCATACTTTGGGTTGTGTTATGAAAATTGTTCAGCTGAAGCTTTGAATTGCTTTAGTCCAGTGTGGATCACTTGCTTTGGTTCCTGTTTATTTTATGACCCCCTCTGTCAGTGATTTTCCCTCGCCCCCTCTCTGAGTGTGAATCTGTAGCATGATTGTATAAACCTCTGTAGAAGTTGGAGATTTCTTGTTCTCTGAAATGTTAAGCTCTAACCTCTGTGCCCTTTAGCCTAGTCTGTTTGAAGTTACTTTCTTGTTATATATTTAAACTTTCCCTCTGGTCCTATAGGTTTTGTGGCATCTCCTGGTCAGGTGGAGAGGAAGCTGCTCCTTGCCGAACTGTACTGTAACCATTTTTCTTTTATAAATATTATTTTCACAGGACTGATTGTACACAGGGCTTGTAATAAAATTTTAACACTGTGCTGTGAAACCACACAGAGAAATCTCCACTGAAGGCACTACAAAAGAACCTGAAAGTGGAATCTTCTGTGACTTTTATTTCTTGTTTCCTAAGTACATTAAGCCTAATTTTCGCCCTTTCATTTTGTTTCAGCCTCCTGTATAAGAAGTTCCGTATTTTCTTCCAATCATACTTTGTAATAAAACTTGAACATATGTAGATGAATTTCGTCTTGTAATGAATTTATTTCTTCCTACTTTGCCCCTGTGGTCATGTTTAAGAAACACTGGCTAGGGGACAAGTCACTTTCTCTGCCCGTCACATTTGTCACTCTTTGTCTTTTTTTGGGGATATATGTTTGTAATACATAATGATTCCATTCATAATAATAGACTCACCTTTTTATCTCCTATTTGGTCACTTATTTTTTACTCAGTTAACAAAAGATAGCGCATCTACTCCGGCAAAGGGACGATTCTCAGGTTGCTTGTACTATACCAGAGGAGACCGCCACATAAACAGATACTACTTAAAAAACCAGCTGCTTGACAGTGTTCTGTGAGATGAGGGGTGGGCTCAGGTGCACTGATTGGCCTGAACAGGTGACTGCCTCTGCCTGGATGGGAGACACTGGGGGCGAGGGAAAATGTCAGAATACAGAATACCTGACTTGGGTTTACAAGTTAGTGGATTACGTATGAGGAATGATGACAGAGCCAGATCAGGGAGAGTCCAGCAAAAATGTTAGAGCTGCTGCCTGCCTCACAAGCACAAGGACCCAAGTTCTATCCTCCGTACAAAAAAAAAAAAAACTTACATTCACATTTGAAAGTTTGGAAGATTGATGCAGAAGGAAGTCACAATTAGAATTGCGTTGCAGAAGGACAAGCAATGAAGAAAGCCTCTGGGGGAGTTGTGAGGGGGAAGAAGATCGTCTTAGAATAATCAAGTTGTAAAGCAGTAAAAACTTGAACTAAGGAACAGAGAAGGGGAGGACAGGGCACAAGTCACGTGAGGTAAGAGATGAAATAATGAGGGTTCAGTAATCTTCCAGGTGTGGGGTGCACACACGTGATCCCAGCACTCTTGAAGACTGAGGCAGGAGGGTCACACGTTTGAGACCAGCCTATGCAACTTAGGCCCTGTCTCAAAATAAAAATGTCTGGGGGTATAGATCAGTGTGAAGGCCCTGGATTCAATCCCCAGTACCACTGTAAAAGAAAGCATTCAGTAATCTGCTGGCTGTGAGGGAGACAGAGAAAGCTCCCAACTTCCAGATCTGTGTCTGGATGCTAGGCTCTGACAGCTGACTAGGAATTTCAAAATCCAAGCCAGTTTCCCAAACCTATGCCTCACCAAGGTAGGATGGGGAAGGGTTCATATACATGACTGCTATTCGGATGCTGTGTGTCCTGAATAAATAAACCCCTCCATTTATTTTTAATTCTTTGCTCATGGTAGTCCTCTGTAAGGGAAGAGAAGAAAGGCAACCTAAGTCAGTATTTAGTAAGTGCCTGCCATTGAGTCCCAGGATATGGAGCTCAGAGGCAGTGAGTCTATGAAGACAAGTACCTAGTCTGGAGAACTCTGAGCATCTGCTGCCTCTGTTGGAACTATGCTATATAATACATATTTTATGGGAAATACATGATTCCTGTTTCCTGGGTTTGGTTTGGTTTGGTTTTGGTGGTACTGGAGATTGAACCCAGGGCCTTGCATGTGTGGTACTGGATAAGTATTCTACCACTGAGCTATACCTACATTCCCAGCCCTTTAAGATTTTTTGAGACAGGCTCTTGCTAAGTTTCCCACATTGGCCTTGAACTTGCAGTCCTCCTGTATCAGCCTCCTCAGTAGCTGGCATTACAGGTGTGCACCACCACGCCCAGCAACTCCCTAGATTTAAGGAGAAAGATGGGAGAGTAACATTGACTGTAATCTTGATAGTCCAGGCCCATGACGGTGAACCTTTTAGAAGTTTCAATGATACAAACAGCCCACTGAAGCATGCGAGCCATAGGTTCACCACCACCACTAGTCTAGGCTATGCTATTGTAACAAACCCCCAAATCTCAGGGACTAAGCAAAACAAAAGTTTATTTTTGATTATACAAAGTCCTCTCCACCTTGTAACTACCTCATCTAGAACATATGTCTTCTAGTCACTTGGAAGAGGCGCTGTTTTGCTGAATAGCCCTGGAAGTAGCATTCTCCTCACAACTGCAAAGCATGTCAAGAAATGCAGTTTTTCTGTGTACTCTGAGAGAGAAAATAAAGTGATGAATAAATAGTAACATTTCTACAGTACCAGAAAATTGGCAAACCACCTAGAGTAACTGCCGGTGTCATTTCATTCCTTGAGAGGGTATTAGACAACACATGTTTGAGCCTAATAGGATGATACTTCAGCCAGTCTTGTGTCTCCAAGGCTCCCTTTTAGGAAAGTGACTGTGATTCTGACGAGGTCTCTGGAGATGGTTCAGTCACCTGTGAATCTATCTCGGGAAACTAAATATTAGAGGAAGGAAAACTCTCAAATCACAGATAAACGGGAAGGTAAGGGACCCTGTCTAGGAACAGCAGGACTCTTGTTTGATAAGGGATCCTGACCTTGCTCCGTGGTAGAGCACTTGCTAAATGTATCAACACCTAGGTTCCAGCCCCAAGCGCTGGGGGTAGGGACACCAATAAAACCAGCCAGAAAGTTAACAGGAAGTTGTACTTTTCTCCCATGCACACATTCCAATTTAAAAAGTGTCATAAAAACTCCTTTTTCTGTGCAACTATAAAAATACTGAGGAACCTTGTTTTCTTAAACTGTAGGCTGACAAATTTTGCTGTTTGAAATTCTCCGTGAGAACGAAGCCTTAAGCTTTGGAGGAACCACCACTCCAACCTAGAAAAGCAGCCTGGATTTCCAACCCTGGTGAAGCATTTCTGAGCAGGGATTTCTGAATACAACATTCCACATTTAACTTTGTACTTCTAAAAAATAATTGAGCTCCTGGGTCCTTTTTGCACTCCAGGGCTGATGTTGACCCCTTTTCATGTAGCTTTGTATTCTGTTGCACCTGTCAAACTGTTTCTTTTAAATTTCTCCAAATGCCACCTTCTCCGTAATCCTACAATAACCATCTTTTCCTTTGTTTGGTGAGGCACTGCCATCCCTATGTGTGGTCTCCCCGTTACAGTCAGGGGAGTCAACAAGCCTGACTGTTGGATTATAGGTGTGCCCCTCAAATGCTGGGTGATTGGACAAGCGCAACTGTAAATCTTCTTTTGGCTTTAACACTTCCTTGTGATTATAAATTCTGGGGGGGGGTTCCTTTTTTTTTTTGCTATTAAAGTAACAAATTAGTTGAAGTATGAAAAATAACTATAGTATTATCATACTGTAGGTAAGCACAGGAAAAGATGCTCAACACCGTTAGTCATGAAGAAAGTACTCAAAATGAAATGATAAAACCCTTCACACCCCTAAGATGGGCTGTAATGTAGACAAAAAAAGACCAAATTTAGTGAGGTTTTTGCAGAAATTGACCCATCGTATTTGGCTGGTGGAAATGTTAAATAGTGCAATCATTTGAGAAAACAGTTTGTCTCTCAAAAGATTAAACAATTATGATAGGAGCAAGCAATTCCACTCCTAAGCATATTCCTAAAAGAAGTAAAAACATGTTCACGTAACGTTATTAGCATCATTATTCATAGTAGTCAGAAAGTGAAAACAGATGTCTATCGACTGAGGATTGTTACAATGTGGTTCGTGAGGCATAAAATATACGGTGAGTCTTTGAATTTTTAAAAAAGTATAGTAAAGGACAAATTACCATGAATCCCCTTCCAAATACTTAACCATCAGTTCAAACATACCTAGCCCATCCCTCTTGGCACTGTCTGAAGCAGTTCTGGAAGTCTTCTATTGTGAGTGTCTTAGGAAGTGTGATTAAAAAAAAAAAAGGGGGTGGGGATTTAGCTCAGTGGTACTGTGCCTGCCTCGCCAGTGAGAGGTTCTGAGTTTGCTCCCCGGTACACACACACACACACACACACACACACACACACACACACAGTGAATGTTACTGCAGAGTGCCATTCAGTTAATGTGGATAATGTGTCCTATCCATATTATTCACCAAATTTAACAACCATGCAGCTGCAGTTTAATTGATTTAGGACATTGAGGCAGCCATAACGGAGCAACTAAAGACATTCACCAATTAAGGAACTGCTTCAGAAAGTGGTAAGGATGAGGGGTTGTGTGTTTGAGGTGAGAGGGAGTACTGTGAGTATTAATGGCAATGTGTCTTTACCATATTTTTATCATACCATATATGTGTGTGTGTGTGTATACATTTATATATTACATATATTATTACATATTTCTAATGACTACATCCTGAAAACATGCTAAGTGAAAGAAGCCAATCCCAAAAGACTGAACAGTGTACAATTAATTCCATTCACAATGTGTCCAGCACAGTCAAACTTAAGAGACTGAAGTAGGTTGGTGGTTGCTTACTGCTGTGGCAAGGGGGAACAAAAACTGACTGCTAATGGGTACAGGACTGCTTTTTGGAGTGACAGACATGCAAAGTTGATTGTGGTGATGTCTACATAATAATACATAAAAATCACTGTATACTTTTAAGTCAGTGGCCTGTGTTATATGTGGACTGTGGCAATGAAACTATTATATACAAACAACAACTGCATTAGGCACAAGAATTACAGTCCTGGAAGAATTTAGTGCTGTGACAAAACATTTTAACGTAAGTCTTGCTAAGCTATGGACCTGCATGAAGGATTACATAAGCACTGAGTAGGTCTCCTGAGTTCAACTGGAGAATTAGTAGATGTAGGTGGGAAATGATGTTTGAGCTGAATCTCGAAGGGAGAGCAAAACCTAGCCAGATGAAGTGAGGTGGAAGACAGGCCAGCAAAGACATGAGTCTATGCTTAATACGGGAATTGAGAGAAATACTGGGAACAATCTGATGTTTCTAAACTGGAAAGGAAGGTTCCAGGCTCAGGTTCATCACTAAGTAGCATGAATAAGCTTTTTTTTTTTTCTTTTTTGGTTTTTTGAGACAGGGTCTCACTGTATAGTTGAGACTGACCTGGAACTCACTATGTAGCCCAGGATGGTCTCGAACTCACAGCAATCCTCCTGCCTCAGCCTCCTGAATGCTGGGATTACAGGTGTGCGCCACCAAGCCCGGCCAGAATAAGCATTTTTTAAAAGGTTTTGGGCTGGGTATGTAGCTTAGTGATAGAATGCTTGCCTAGCATGCTTCAGGCCCTGAGGTTAAATCCTTAATAACACACACACACACACACACACACACACACACAATTCATAAGTGAACTATTAACTATAGCTAAAAATTCAAAGGAGTAATGTAAAAAAAGGCTTCAGTGAAGAGGAGACAGCTTAAGTGAATTTTGAAGCACAATAAAGATTTTACTAGTAAGGGCCGGACATGGTGCACACCTGTAATCCTAGCACTTAGGAAGCTGAGGCAGGAGAATCCCTGCAAATCTGAGGCCAGCCTAAACTACGTAGTAAGTTCAAGGCCAGTCTGAACAACACAGAACCTGTTTAAAAATGTAAAAAGATTTTACTAGTGAGAAGATGGAGGAAAGGCCAACCCCAGCAACAAAGGTGATAGAGGGCTTGGACTCAGGGTAGAGTTAATAACTATCCCCTTGCACGCCTGTAATCCCAGCACTCAGAAGGCTGAGGCAGGAGGATCGCTGTGAGTTCGAGACCAGCCAGGGCTACATAGTGAGTTCCAGGTCAGTCCCAACTACATAGTGAAACCCTGCCTCAAAAAACCAAAATAAATAAATAAATAAAATAACTATCCCCTCCACCTCAACCCACCCACACAATCCCCACAGAAATACAGCATCAGGACATGAGACTGGGAAATGAGTAAATCAATTGTGGAGGTTCTTACATAATAATACATATAATCTCTGCCTGTGTGCTTTACATTCGCTTTCCCATTTAATCTTCATAGATCATGCAAAGAAAAAAATAAAGGAACTTAAGCACGACTACAGGAGTAAATGAAAAAATCAGGGCTCAAACCCACCCAGTCCAACTCAAAGCGCAGAAATTTAAGCTTCCTTCACACCGAGGTCCTGCTTCTCTAACACCAAGATCTTTGGATTTATTTAAATCTCACCATAGCGGGCCACCAAAAAAGTTTTTCAGTACCTGCCACTTTGTTTCTTTCTCACCTTCTGCTAATGGCTTCGGTTTTCTCTCCTGGGAGTGCAGGTGCACAATGAAGAGGGAAGTTTGGCTCCAAAAGGTTTGTTTGATCATTTTTCCTCTCCCCAAAAGACTGTGACTGAAGTGAATCTATCCCAAGGCACCTCGGCTTTTAGAGAATCACTATCATTACCGTTGCTATTTGCCTAAGTTTATTCCTTTAAAGCTGTAAGGCTTTATGTTGTGTTTTCAATTCCAATGTTGGTAAAGTAGGTGGCAGCATCTTTCTTATTTATAGATAGAAAACGTTGGATCCAAGAGACTAAATGAATAGGCAAATCAGTTCTCTGGCGGCGGCTTACCAGTAAAACAAGACGGTCGAATTAGATCTTCCTTTGCGAGAACAAAACGTCTATCTTTGTGGACCTTCTCAGAGTTAGGAAGGAATTTGGAAACAAAATCGGTTTCATAACTCAGGTGTGTTTTTACTAAATCACTGAACGAAATAAAACCCAGCGGTGAGTCGCGCGTGGTGGCACACGTCTGTAATCCCAGCACTCGGGAGGCTGAGGCAGGAGGATCGCAGTGAGTTCGAGACCAGCCTGGGCTACGCAGTGAGTCCGAGAGCAATCTGAACTACATAATGAGACCATGTCTCAAAAACAAAACAAAACAAAACAAAAAAACCCGGCGGACCACCCCCACCCCCACCCCCAAACAACCGGGAAAGATAGGGCAGCTTACTCTTCCATCGCGCTTTTCAGAGCAAGATAGGAACGAGTACCGTGCGGCGGCGGAACAGACTTTGCGGTGATGGGGACGACTTTTTGCAACGGAGCAGGAAAAGGAAGTGTGCTACTCCATCAAAGGTCCCCACGTTCGGCTGCCGGAGGGACGGTGCGAGGTCACCCGTGATTGGGCAGCTCCGGGGAGGCGTGAGCGTTTAGCTTTCTGGAGGCAGGCAGAAGCCGCTGCAGTGTCCGGAACTTCTTGTTCCGGAAGCGGATAGGACGCGCTGACCTTGGCCAAGCCAGTTTGCAGCTTGCAGCCCAGGCTCGGAGCCGATGGCGTCCCGGACTGCTGTCAGCCTGAGCAGGGCAGCTGCCGGGTGCTCGAGAG